TTTCATTTCGACATCATGCTCCATTTGTCTAGAATAATCTACCTACTGAAATACAATCAATCATTTTGTTAAATACATTTAAAAGAAAATTGAAGAAATCTCTGTTAAAATACATTTTAATACATTTTAATTATACTGCATCCTGTGTATGGTTTGTGTAGGTATATTATTGTTATTATTTTTTTAATTTTTTTTTTTTTGGGGGGGGGGGTTGTCATTTGTTCATATTTATCAGAAAATTATATTTTACACTGATTTTTATTTATGAATTCAAAATGATGTCAAACATGTATTTTAATACACTTCATGTTTGCTTTGCTTGTTTGGCCGTCAGAACACAATCCCCACTTGCTTTTTGTATGGCCATCCTAATACTAATTTGTTCTCTATCATACCATATATTTTTTAACACTGATATACACACCCCTTTATCTATTTCATGTATTTGCTGGAATGGAAATAAACGAATTGGATTGAAGTTGTGATTTATGTTAATCATTCTTGTTTGTGTACCTTTAGGAGCAGCTAGATACAGCACTCAAACAAACCAAAGTGATTCAACACAGAGCTGTGCCATATAGGTAGGTATCTCAAATAGTTTGTCATATAGCAGAGTAGGGTAGGTTGTTAATATGAATATTTGTATACAGGGAAAAGCAAAATGGCATTTAATTTATCTTTCCTTTGTGAATTAGCTTCTTTTTCCTTCATCTTTTCATTTTGCAGACGTGACTAACAATTAAAAAAAATACACATACCATACACAAAGTTACGTTTTGCAAAAATCAGAGTAGCCTCGGAAGCCGAAGGGAACAGTTCTTCTGTTTTTGTGCAAGAAATAAAAGAAAGATTTAAAATTAGAGTGGACTCAGTGGAGATATCTTAATAGCAGACATAACAAAGGCAAAACAGATATGGAAAAATATAACGAACATCATCTTTCTCTGTCTATACCATAAGGAGTGAATTCTCTGCGACATGTTTGTAAAAAGCTTCATTAGAATGGAATTGACATGAATGGCAGTTAAAAGCAGACTTTACAGATCATGCACTATAGTTCAGTGATCGCTTGCTTGGAATATTTATGTAGGGCGATGATGGTAATTGTCACCCTTGAAAACTTTTTCTTTTTCTATATTATAATTTAATTTCAGACCCATGTTGGATGGCCTATCTGCACTGCTCATGTTACCGAGCTGGAAGGCACCTACAAGCAGAGCGACAAGTAGGATCACTTAATTTTTAAAGACTCCCTTCCCCACTTGTTTTAAGAACATGTATCTTCCCGTCTTTCTGCCTAGTGATTTATGGAGTGTGAGCGAACTTAATCATGCAAGCTACTGCTACACATATTTTCAGGTTTGGGGTCGCACATTGCTATTATTAATGGTGAGATCAGTTACATTTATGCTACGCAGTCAGGTCTTGTGCACCAACTCCGCTCTTTCAGAAGCCTTAATGCACCAAAGCATATTTAAGTATATCAATGACATTTTCAACCTTGAAACTGTGTTTACTGGTACTTGTACATTCCTGCCTATGTTTTAGCCTGTATTCACACGCACCTGACTTATTTCTATAACATCCTTATTTCCTTGCCTGGATTATGAAAACTTATATAATAGTGTTTTTGCTACAGAGATTATACAAAATGATGCATGCGAAATGGGTTCATTATAAAAATCTATCCACACTGGAGTTGAGGCTTTATGCATCCATCACACAAAGCCATTAGGCTTTGATAGATAGGTGCACATACAGCCCCAACAAGAGCTAATATTAGAGCTGATAGATCCTGTAATGAACGAATGAAACATGCATCATTTGTTTTATACAACAAAACTCCTAGATCCTTATTATTTGTTGTAAAATAAATAAATTTCTAATTTTTTGGGGTCATTATCGTTCAAAAATAAAGCCCAAGTTTAATATGCTTACTTTAACCCATAAACAATAATATTATAAGCCCATTAACCTCTACATGCACTGCTGCACATTGCATAATTAAAAATTGTTAGATAGTCTCAGTAAATGAATGACACATTTTTAATACTTCGTTTGACCAATCATTTGATTAGGATCTAGATGTGAGTTGTAAAGTTTTATTTATTTTCATGCTGTTTTAAAGTGAGTATACTTTGTTCCATGTATGACATTCAATTCTTGAATGTTGGTTCCTTTACTTAATCTCTCATGAAATATGTACTTTACCTTGAATAAATGTGCCAGAAGTATTTGAGAATGTGCCATAATGAAAAGCTAGAATTTTTATTTGGTACCTCACCTTCATTATATTCATTTCATTCAAGTTTGCTCTGTGTGTATTTAACATTTGTGTATGAGGCATACAGTAAAAGAGAAACTTCCAGTTTAAAGAAGAGAATGTAAATGCGTTTTATTCATCATTTCCTTTTGGGTGTGGGGATACATTAATAAAGTTGAATTATAAGAAATGAAAGAGGAATTACATAACATGAAAAGCCAGGGGTTACAGCCATGTAGTAAGGTACATTTGTAGGAATGTGTACAGTCTTACAAAAGTACTAAATCTGTTGAAAAAAATATTGTCTGTGATACTAATACTCAAATTTTAACTAAACTAGAGAAAAATGAAATGATAGGTTTTCATGTAAAAAGGGAAGGTAAACAAAACAGAAAGTGCCATCAAAGGTTACCATATATGTCATTTCATTTTCTACTATAACACTGGGGTTTTCTTTTCTGATGTTTTTTTAATTTCATATGAAACTTGTACTCCTACTTAATGACAAACATTGTTGCCCATGAGAATTATGAGAGTATATGTCTTGCCATTTGTATGCTACCAAGCTGATTATACAGTTGTCAGAAATGTGAAATGTTGATTGATACTCAAAGAATATTTTGTTTGAGTTTTAGCTTTACTGATTGATCTGGTTGTAGTTTCGTACTGTACATTTGCATTCTTTGATTGAATATATTATCCCTTTTTTTTATATATAGAAAGAGATGTATACATGTATTTTTGATGATGGGTTGTGAAACAATAATATAAGATAAGATCAAAGTGTAATGAGTGGCAATTTTTAAAGAATGAAGGGAAATTTGATTAATTGATTTTGCTTTTTAGTAGACAAGATTAATCTTAACCTTGATTTTCATTGAATTGAAAACACAATTGCAAACACCTTCATGAAATTGATCAATTTTAACTTTGCACAGACCTTTCATTTAATCCAAATACGATTTTCTATGTAAGATAAGGGTTAAAAATGCTGTAGATTTGATTGCCAAACATTATTTTCAATTTTGACTTGAGCAATATAAATGTCAGTTACCGGTAGTTTTTCATTTCAACTCTTGATGAGAGAATGGGATGAGAAAAAACTGTGGTGTCTTTTGTGACCCTTACACAATATTCTTCCATTTTGAATGAAGGAGCTAAGCTTGATTATCTGTGTGTGAAAATGAATGGATACAATTCTGATTGTTTAGTGGTATGTTTTCAATGTATTTGATATATTGATAGTGTGTGTGAAGCTACTTTCAGGAAACATGGTTCCAGGGTATTACCAATGTATTAATTTTACCAAAAATCGAAAATTCAGTCGCTAGAGTTATAAAACCTAGTCATGTTTTCATTTGTGTGTATAGTATGACTTTTTTAAAGCAAATTGTTGATATCTTACATTTTTAAAAGCAGATCTTATAATTTCTTAATCTTAAAAAGCAATATATATATTTCTTTTAAGTGGGCTGAATCATACAAATATGTTGTCACTTAAGATTTGAAATATATTGAGGTTGCCTTCAGTACTACTACATTTGTAACTATTCGTATATCCTTATTCCATTATATTATTAGCATATGTTTAATGTGTTCTCATTTTTTAAAATCGAATCATGACTGCATTATTGCAAACTTTCTTTTGGCTTGAAAATGGAGCTGATAATCCTGTACATGTACCAGTAAATTTATATTTATGGTTACTTTTACTCAATGAAAACATAAAAGTTTTACTCATAAACTTCCTACACGCTAATTAAGATTCGACGCTTGATGATTTTTTTTGTTGAAACATTAAGAACATTCACATAAAATACAGGCATGAAATAGCAGCATATGTGTAGAAAATGAACTCTAAACCAAAATGCATTCCAGAAAAATAATACTTATTTATATGAACTCGCTTGCATTCTCCCTCTCTCTCTCTCTCTCTCTCTCTCTCTCTCTCTCTCTCTCTCTCTCTCACACACACAATTAGATGTAGAGAATTGACTCTAAATTCGTATTGTATTCCAAAGAAATAATTCTATCACTATTTTACATGAACTTGCTTGCTCTCTCTCTCACAACTAAGTGTGATTAAAATGTCATATTTATGCTTTGAAATTTAGGTTTAAGGTTTATGTTTCAGATCTATGATTGTTGTGTGGGTTTATAATAGTTGCAGTTGTTATGAAGTGTCGGGAACAAATCTAAGACTATACATTACTATGTCACATATTGGTCAATAGGTATTTATTATTACAAAAGCAGAGTATATTTTGTATCAATGAGTGGAAGAAATAATAAATCACAATTTGAAATGATAAACAAGGTCAAAGTGATTATTTTGTTATTTATTCACATCAGAATGGAGCTTGCAAGTCATAAGTACTTCAGGGTGTGATACATTTCATGGAATTTGACCAACTTAGAGCATTCCAGCCGTTTTTAATTCTTGATTTGTATTTTCTCTGTAAATTGTTTTCTTGCATGCTTTTGATTTTTTATACGAAAAAATAAAACCAAACCAATTGCATATTGCACAAGTACAGCGCATCATTTCATATTTTAGTTAAAGATCTTTTGTTGACTAATGGTGTTTGCTAGTACGGTTGTGTCTCTAAAACTCGATCGTATATTTCGCCATTGTTGGCTTCGTGCCATGTGGAATATTACATCCTCGGGATAGGTCTAAGGATACTATCAGATATATTAAGCTTTTTATTTTGCTGAACATCGAGCAATCGTATCTTCAAGCGCGACGCAATGGCGAATGCAACGATACAGGAATGGCACAGCACGCATGTCCAACTCTAGACTCTAGCAACAGACTCCGCCTCAATTCCCACTTATCAGTCGCCGTGTCAAAGATTGATATGACGTCACCATCAGATTCCAAGAAAGGACCAGGTTTTCCGAGAACGACTATTTTGGGTCCTGCAAATATCCAAATTGATTATCGAAAAAAAAAATTTGACATAAGTTTGTAGAAAAATAAAGATGGACATCGGGAATTAATTCAGCCCAAACAGTATGAAAACAAAGTTCTTTCATTATCACTAATCAAAACATCTTTGAGTGAAAGATACAAAAAGTTACGTCTTTTTCATAATATTTATAAACTGTTCGACATTGGAATGGAGACGCTCGAAATTGTGATCTACAACCGCGATCAAACTTATCTTTAACTTTCCACTCACTCCCAATCAAAAGGAAACAAGAAAAAGAAAACAAAATTATAAACATTTCACATCCTCGTAATATACACGATTATCAATCCATAGCGCACTTACCTACAGCCACGGCATTTGCGCCGTAGTTTCCTTCTACGACGTCAGTTACATAACGCCACGATTCTGTGACGTCATCATACACGTCTACCGAAGACGTGGAGCTATCGTCATCGGGAAAGTGGCGTATGCAAGTAAAACCACCGACGAGAAAGAGACGTTGATTGATCCGCAGAAGAGAGGCGTGACATCTTGGTGTTGGCAGTCCGTTAATTTTTGACCAGCTAAATAACAAAGATGAATTAATTATAAAGAAAATCAGAAGAACCGTCTTGATTTTTGCAGCCTCATAAAATATAAGTTTACGACAAGGCCTTAAACTTTTGCAAGTGTGTGTGTGTGTGAGTGTTTGGGGGTGTATTCGAACCGCGGCGGACAACCTCAACAACAACATGTGTAATACCAAAGTGTTTTCATAATCCAAAATTGATACGAGTGTTTTGGGTAACAAATTCAAAATACAGATTTATTGTTATTGTGTATAACAAAGGAGCCTACTTAGCTTTCACTTCGAGGTAGCACCGTAGCACTAACTAATCGAAAATGTTGAATTCTCTTTTTATTCAAGTTGAAGAAAAATTAATAGAAATAAGACTATCACTCAATATAAGAATGGAAGGTTGGTTTCTCCATAACCCTTATCTATGAGGGTAGAAATACTTGTATAATGTTGTCTATCATGCAACAAGGTCGCTTTGATTATGATGTATCTTGACTTTGGCGTAAAGTTCGAAGATAATTATCACATCCCGACAAGGACATTATATATTAAGCTCACTATCTATGGCCTTCGTTTATTTAAAGATTTTATTGTTCATATATTCTATAATGTATACCTGTTGTCATGGGGTGAATAACACTCGACGATCCCAGTCAGCTGTGTGTTGGAACTCTTGTAGAATCCATCAAAGACGCTTGCGCCTTTTTCATCGCCGGACTCTTTACTTTCATCCGCACTTTGAGATGATTGGCCACGACGATTGGTCACGTGATTGGTAGCACCACCGGCGACCCACAGGTGGAAATTGTACGGTGCCGCAGCCGTGGCATAGCGCGGGGAACTCAAGGGAGCTACCTGGCGCCAACTGTCCGTGTATGGCGAATACCGATCAACTGCCGCCAAAGCTCTGTTAATAAAAAGCGATTATTGAGCTTATTTAGGGAGAGGACTACTTTTAAGGTCTATAATGGCACTACGATCAAGAATGCATTTTCAAATGCAAAACGTTTCTGTTCCAAAACTATAATAATACTGTAATATCCCCAGAAATTTTAAACTGATCAAATAGCCTATCATGTGCTGGATGAAATCAGATAAACATAGGTGTATGTATACGGTGATATATAATGATAATAATGTACAAAAATGAATATAAAAGGATCACAAACAAGTGTTGGGAATTATGATTTTACGTCAGCGTACATGACTAACTTTCAAACTTTCCTCTAAGAAAATCACCTCTTTTCACCTTCACCTCTTTGTTACAGCACGTGACCCATTAGGAAATAAAACCAACGTTAATGAAACTCCTGCCATATATAGCAGGCATAATAATTAGCCTACATTCATTATCCTGATTTCATGGTGCGATTCTATAAAACGTGTAGTTTAGTAAACCCGTATCTTTAGAACCATGTGCAAATACAAAATGGAAAATAGTGATACATGCAAGGCCTATATAGTTTATTATTCAAGTGACGTATATATCACGTAGCATGTTTCGTAAATATTTTCATTGGTCGGTCTACAGGAGTGCATGAAAGCTTTGGTAGACCTACTAAATCATAAAAAACGGACAGCTGCTTAAAATAATGTAACAATAATAGTAAAAACAACAGTAATAATATTAATAACACAGGTAATAATAATAATATTAATTACATGCCTTCATTGTATTTTTTTAATGTTGAGAAAAAGTAAAGATTGCCTAACAACACGATTGCAGAGACTCTCCAAAATTCAACCTTAGGCAATTTCAATATCACTTATTGAAATGTGCGAAATTGACAATGTCAATATTATTACGTAATCAGAATATGAATTCATTAGACAATACAATAGGCTACTAAAATCACGCTGGTTGATTACTCGACAGTTTTTGAGATTGTGTTCCATGCAGGACGAGGAAAGATTTCTTACCCTCCGTCTTGCCCCTGCCCACCGATAACATAAATCTGCCCGAAAAGCGCCACCATCTGATGAAAAACCCGGGCCTGATCCAGGTCCGCGAGCCGATACCACTTCGCTTTCATCAGATCATACACATGGAAGAGGCGACTGGGTTGGAAATTGTTGCAGCTTGCATCACAGGGCAACTGTACATGACCACCTGTGTGATAAGATTATTTTGAGATAAAACATGTAAAATGTGACATAAGTAATTAGAAGATAATGGACTGATCTAAACTATTCCATGTCAAGATCAATTGTGTGTGATTCATGATCTTCTTTGGTTGTTATCAGATCTAAGACCTCACTGAACATAATGATCATAAAGTTTAAGGTATATTTATTGCTACTAGTATGAATTGTTTTAAATCAAGGAATATTGTACTTTTATTGATCATGACTTCATCGTTGTTTTAGGGGCCACACTTTAGAGAAGCGAACGGGGAAGAAGAAAAAAACTTGCCTGAAATGTAAATTGAGTTGTGGATATAACAGGCTGCTTGGTGGTGCATGGCAACAGGTAGGTCTGCAAACGATATCCATTCTTCCCATCTTTTGCCACGTCCGCGGTCCAGCTTCTCGATATCACTGTGCACACTGTCCTCGTCCCATGTTCTGGATATACCACCTATACGCACTACCTGTATGGTTGTCTCATCCTCTGTAGATTCCTGGCTGCTACTTTCTCCAAGATCGTCATTCGATGCAACGGGAGATGCTGATACATCTTGCGATACGCTTACGCGAATAGGGGTTGTATCGATGTCATGGTATGATGGAAATGTCCCTGCTTTTGTATTCCGAGATTTGGACGATTTAGTTGAAGAGGGCGATTTCTCGATCGAAGACAATGACAAACCACCTTGAGAATAAGAGGGAGTCTGCTCTTCTTTCGATGAACTGATGCGTTCCTCTTCGTCAGACGTCTTATAGAAACGATCGCTGTTCTTAGCAGTGATGCTCTCGGAATCAATTATTCTTGAGGCGCGGCATCCAACCACTTCTGCTATGCGTTGCCTAATGATTGGAGGATCGAAATGGAGCTGATCTATTTCCAAACAAGATGCCCGCTTTCTTGCATCTTGAATGTAGCGCCTCACTGATTCATTGGAAATAGAATTGAGATGGCTTTTCTCGATGCGTTCGATTGTTTTAAGGGGTATGTATTCAAATCTCACGTGTCTCAGCAGCCTTAAATTCGAGCTGGTGTCCCTAGTGTGGTGCTCTAGCCACAGCAAGACAGCATGGAGGATATCTGTCTCTTCGTTTATCCGTAGGTTGTCGTCTTTCAAGATACACGATGCGTGTTCAACGGGACAGAGAGCGAAGTTTCTCGACGTGGACACCTCAACGAAATGTGTCCGAATGTAATTCAAAATCTCCCTGAGAAGGTCGTGTAGACCTGTAGTTTGTGCCAGGCAGAACGCACCAATGCATTCACCTTTCCAGGTGTTCAAGAGAAACGTCTGAAGTGCATTCGTAAGACTTTTGATCGAAAGAAAGAGTGATCCTCTTAGAAGCTGAGAAACGTGAACAAACTGAATGTCAACATCACCTGTGTACATGTAACGAAGAATGTCACGGAAAACGTCTGCAGAAATATCTGATATGTATACAGTCAGTATATCGGTTTTAGCAGGAGTGTTGAGAAAGAATTTTTCGAAGTATTCACTGTTTGCCGCCAGTACCACACGGTGGGCCAAAAAAGCGTGATCCTCTACGACTATATTGACGTCGCAAAACTTGCCTTTCATCCACATGTCGTAGAAATACTTCTTTTGTGGCCCTGCAGACAGTACCATATTACCACGAATGGAGAATGAAGCTTCGGTCGCAAGAGTAGTGTCCATTTTGGCGTTGTTCGTGCCTGTCTTTGCGTCTTCTTGACTAGAAGATCTTATTGATGTCGCCAGATCAGTCTCGTTCTTTGGTTGACTTTCTTCACAAGAATCATCCGTGTCATGTGGCATACCATTACAATTTCGATTAGTCCGAATCATTGGTAGAGTGTTATCTTCATCATTTCTCGAAGTTGTTGGTAGATCAGTCTGTGGAGCACGGCCTTTTGGACGTGTAATACCTGCTTTCTTTATACGTTTTGGATATGTTAGAAAGACACGAGTTTCATTATCGAATTTGTCTTCAATGTTTTGGTTAGACCGAATTAAAGGTGGGGTGCTCGATTCGTCACCCTCTTTCAAACCGGTCCGTCGGTCATTTAACGGAACTTCTTTTCTTGGACGACCTTTCCCACCACTTGGATCATGAGAGGATGTATGTGGATATTCCAAGTATTGTGGACCTTGTTTCTCATCTTCAACGACAACACGACCCTTGGGCTTCATGGTAGCATTCGTATCGGTTTTTCCCACATCAGACATCGGATAAGACAGCTCTTGGGTCCGAGTTTGTTTAGATGGAAATTCGTCAATAGTTGTTCTCTGAAGTTGTTTACATGGTGTATCCGAGTCATCTAAATTATCTCTGGAGATTCGAGATCCCTGAAAACTACTGCCACTATTTTCATTAGAGGAGGACTCGTTTAGATATTCAAAGGGACGAACATAATCTTGCGTTCTTTTCCCCATGAATTCGTCATTGCCCTTTATACCTGCATTCTCCGTATGTGTTTGATGAGACAGTGCGTGTCTTTCGCCATCTTGTCTTCCTTCATTTGTCCCTTTTATGAATCGATGGTTTTGTTTTTCGTCATTGTTTTTCGAATTGTTGATATGTAGATTATTCTCTGAAATATCAGACATCGGAAAAGACAGCTCTTGGGTCCGAGTTTGTTTGGATGGAAATTCGTCAACACTTTTTCTCTGAAGTTGTTTACATGGTGTATCCGAGTCATCCAACTTATCCCTGGAGATTCGTTTCGTTTGAATCGAAAGGTCGCTTCGATTTTCTTCATCATATCTCAGAAAGTTCGTTTGCAAGTCATTCTTTTCAATCTCTCCTTGAAAACTAGTGCCACCACTTTCATCAGAGGACTCGTTTAGATTTTCAAAGGGATGAACATAGTCCTGCGTTCTATTGCCAATTAATTCGTCCTTTCCCTTAATATCTGCATTCTCCGTATGTGATTGATGAGACAGTGCGTGTCTTTCGCCATCTTGCCTTCCGTCATTTGTCCCTTTTATGAAACGGTGGTTTTGTTTTTCGTCATTGTTTTTCGAATTGTTGATATGTAGATCATTCTCTGAAATATCTTCTCTTTGGAAACTACTGCACGTATTTCCTCCACATGCAGGTACCTGTGGGTGTTTCGAGGAATGAACATCATCATGTTTCACATTATCTCGTGATTTTTCCTTTTCATCGGTGTCAGGATTTTTTTCCTTATCATGTTTATTAACTCGAATAGAAAAGGAAACATTGGTGGTGTAAGTAGCATCAACTTCAGACATTTCTCTACCTGCTATCAAATGAGAAGGCGCGGGGAGTGAAAATTGTATTGAAGTCATTTTATCATCATGATCATTTCCCTGAAATTGTTTACATGATTTTCCTGAGTCTTGTTTTGCGGGCTCGAACAATTGTCCCCTTATTGTGTAGCCATTTTTCGAATGGTCGGATGATATGTAATTCTGCGGAAGTTCTTCTTTTAGAAAATCATCACAGGATGATTCATGTAGACGTTTCGAACAGTGATTACAAAGAAGTTCCTCTTTTCCATCTCCATCTGTATTCTGTCCACCTTTTTGGCCGTGTTGGGAGAGCGATTCTTTGTCAACTGTTTCTTCGGAATATAGATTTGCATTCTTCAGATTTTTTCTTTTTTCTTTTCCTTTTCTGTCTGCTTTATAAGTTTCATTATTGTTATGCCCTTGAATAGAAAATGAAACCTTGTTGTCCTTGTTCTCCATCGATTCAGACACTTCCGGATCTTCAGTTTCATCTTTCAAACGGCAGGGATTATAGTCATTTTCATTTTCTTGAACACTTTGGCTCTTCGAAGCCACAGAATGGCTTTTATTTTCGCCATCAATATCTCTCAAAAGTGATTTTTCTTGACCTTTAATGGAGGTTTTCTTTGAAGTTTTTTGGTGCTTGTGAGAGAGATGTTTGGCGTTCGTTTCGTCTCCAAGAAGATATTCACTCTGTTCGGAGGCACGATGGGTATGAACTTGATTAACTCCAAGTATCTTTTTCGCCCTTTTACCATGATCCCTTTGCTGATACTTTGATTCCACGGAGCTCCTCTCTTTATGCTGGTCAGGGAATACAGACTGATCAGCATGATCAGTCATACTTGAGGGAGACGAACCTACAATTGAATCAGTCATACTTGAGGGAGACGAACGTACAACTGCATCAGTCATACTTGAGAGAGACGAACCTCCAACTGCAACAGTCATAAGTACAATAGGATCAGCCACACTTGCGGAAGACGAATCTGTATCTGCATCAGTCATACTTGAGTGAGACGAACCTACAACTGCATCAGACATACAAGAGGGAGACGAAACTACAACTGCATCAGTCATGCCTGAGGGAGACGAACCTAAAACTGCAACAGTCGTAAGTACAACCGCATCAGACATACTTGAGGAAGACGAACCTACAACTGCATCAGTCATACTTGAGGGAGACGAACCAACTACTGCATCAGTCATACCTGAGGGAGAAGAACCTACTACCGCATCAGTCATACTTGAGGAAGACGAACCTACTGCATCAGTCATACTTGAGGGAGACGAACCTACTGCATCAGTCGTACTTGAGGGAGCCGAAAGTACAACTGACGCTAATTGTTGATTACCTAACACTAGTCCTACACGTTTGGTGTTTACTCCATCTTTTCTCCTTCCTGTCCTGTTCTTTGACGACTTTCTCCTGTGTGTGCTCCCTAAAGAGGTAGATTTTCTACCTTCCTTACTTGTACCTTCTTCTCCACACTTTGACCCAACTGACTTGCTACTATCTTTAGTGAAATGACTTCCGGTAGATTGTGTATCACATTCCGATTTCGTGATCGAGACATGACTTTGAGATGTTGTCTGTCTTACTGGCCCTTTATCCTTTTCTGCACACCGGACATTCGTTGAACCACTTTTGTCATCACCGTAACCTGCTCCAGTCGAGTGCTGTAAAATTAAATTGGAAGTAGATTAGATATTTTAGAATGAATTAATCACACCAAAATTCGAAATGAGAAACCATTAAAATTAGAATACCCTTTTCCTCTTTTTGTTTTTGTTGATTCTAGAATAACTACGACCATTCGATAACACTTTTCGCCAAATCTTGAATGTGCCTACATCTTGAAAAGTTATCTTTGGAACATAAAGTTGGATGAGGTCAATATATATTTTTAGCTCCGTTAATAGCATGTCCTACTGGATAAAAATAAATCTTTCAGCTTGCCGACATAGTTATGAATAGCAGTACTTAAAAGCATTTGGTGCTACTGAATGACTAGACTATGGCTTTAGTATTTAGATCTAGATTAACGTATATCTTAGTAAGATCCAAGAGAAAATGCGACAGGATTACTTTTGTTAATTTTCAAGACACACAACTCCCTTACTTAATTTCTTAATTTCTTTCATTTCTACAACACGGTGACTTAATTCTACAAAATAGGCCGACTAAATACAAATATCATATAGACTCTCTCAAAGGTGACTGCTTTATGACAGTCTGGAATGCTTGCGAAAAAGAGCTCATTGATCTGCCTTGGTTGTTCCCAACTTTTTCTTTAGCTTGCCTCACACATACCCCACCTCCCCCTTCTTTTTGATCACCATCACTCGTCTCTTAATAATACTTACTTGAATATCATGCTGAGTTTCTGCGTTTTTTATGGGGCCTCCGGACTCAGCACCTTTCTTTGGATGTAGTGTGCTACCGACACAGATGTATTCGTAGTCACTGCACGTGCAGAACTTGGTGTTACCGCCATGATCCTCATCACTATGGCATGAGCAGAATTCTTCAGCTGCGCTCCAAAATTCTTCTCCATACTTTCGATCGCCCAAAGCAGTTTCAGGTAGGTGATTACTCATTTCCAACGATATCTCTCCAACTTATAATTCTGTTATGCTTTCATGATTGTTTATTTTTAAAAAACCTCTGCATCGAGAATAATTGCTTGATAATGGTAGAGATAGAGCATGGATGTGCAAGAGATGTTTACTTTGTTGTTGTTTGGGCCTATTGAAAATCTCCACGCATGACGTGACCTACTTGTACGGGATCGATGTTGTAGAAATCTAAGGCAGCAATAACGCGCCCGCGCATTTGAGATAGCGCATTGCGCGAATACTTTTCAACATAAATACATGTAATATCATATTGTTACGTCAGAGAATTGTGGAAATGTCCATTGTGACGTGTGTCACGTGATAGTTGTATTTTTGCCCTTATGATGACGCGCATTTGAGAGAGCGCATTACGCTTATACTTTTCAACATAAATACAATTAATATCATTGTTACGTCAGAGAATTGTGGAAATGTTCATTGTGACGATAGTTGTTTTTTGCCCTTACGATGACAAGTTGAACTTGTCAGGTTTCTTTGCAACTAGATTACTAGTTTAACGCTGTTTCATTTTCATGACCGAGAAATTCACAAAATTAATCACCCAATTTACCATACCTTGACTAGATTAATTTTTTCCCGACGGAAAAAATAATTACGGGAAGGGGGCTATTTTCCAAAAAGATGACCTCTCTTGCTAATGGTGCTTCCCATATTTTTTTATTAAAATCTATTTTCATGCAATAATTGCAATATAATTACCCCCACTGAAGCATATCTGTCTATTAGTAGTACCCCTCCATGCTCTTACGGCAATCTCTTCATACAGCTACCCATATCATTCTCTTTCTCCTCGCCCACTTTATTTTGATCATATCTTCCGTTCATTCCATTCACTTTCCCGTCTTCTCATAGCCGACAATTGACAAACGTGAGAGAATCTTATCTCGTATTCAAATGATTTTTATTTCTCATGCAAAACACAATACAATGAAATTGTAATGTTATTTGCAATTTAATATAAGTACACATATATTATACAGTAGGCTTGCACCATGTGAGAAAGGGGGAGGATTGGGAAGTCCTGCAAAGGACTGCCGGTAATATTTCTTGTATATAATACAAATAATTTCTTTTATGTTTATTACAAAAAATATACAATGAAACTAGACAAATATAATACATAATGGCAGGAGAAAAAAGGAACTAAAAAGAATCAGAGCTTGTTGAGGCATTTATACAGTACGTCTTGAAAAACAAAGTATACATTGAAAATCAATAAGTTAACAAATATATACCGTTAACAATGAAGAAATTATGAATTTGGGGAAGAAGATTTAAAAATACTGGGCAAAAATGGGGAAGAATAGAAGAAGGCAAAAAGGAAGAAAGATAGAAAAGAAAAGAATTGATTGCAGAAGCTCTAGAAATTGGAGATTAGATCAGCAGAAAGAGGGAGAAAGGGAAACGGATATTACAACATTACGTATTCCCTTAATATTACATGTACATCAGTTACTTCTAGATTTGTTTAACAAAATTAATGTACAATGTATCGGTCTAAGAACTTTCAGTTCAATCAAGGCATTAAACAACATCGTTACCAAGGCATGATTTACTCAACCCCTAAACTGCCCGCACGTTATACGAGTATTTACAATCACAAACTTATCAATGCTCTCTTCGTTTGATTACTTGTAAACAGTCAATGTTTTTTTTATAAATATTTATGTTTTGTGGCAGTTCCTAATCGCCATACTAGAAATATGCATAATAATTATGTTTAATATCTCAATATAGTTACACAGTTTTGAGTAGTCATTTACATAATTGATAATATTGCAACTTACACAAGCAAAATAATATATCTTTCACATAATATTGCAGAAAAAAAAATTACTTGAATGAATGATGTTGAATTTTTCAATACAAAAATACATCTAATCGCCGTTTTTCACGACAAAAATATTTCATAATTATTTGACTAAATGCATAATGATGACTAGTGCAGACTATATAGTTGACATTTTTATCGACATGATTCATACATCTAAACATATAGGTCCATAAATATTATTCACATACTTATTGCAGCAATAAAATGCAATTCGTAAAGCATTAGCTTTTGAAGAATCGTATTGCAGCAGTTTTATATGTTGCATCCATATTATACGCCCAATTTTACGTAATAAATTATCGAAATTAACAGGCAGTGCATAATCACAACCATCAAACTCTTGAAAAATATTAATTCATATATATATATATATATATATACACATAGTATAACGATTCCAAACCTCACAAACGATAACGTCAATATAATATGCCTATTTACAATTTTACAGGACGCCAGATCAAGATTAATGAATATATGAATTTCACGAATATTTTGAATCGTCTGTAATGGTATATTTTATAAACACTGATTAGCAGCACGTGACATATGAATTGTTGCACGTGTAAGGAAAAATCGTTAGCAAACATTAAATCTATTACATCACAAGCATTGTGCTCTTAACATTGCACGAAGTATTGCACTTCATAGAAACATTGTTCAGTACTGACTGCAGTACAAGCAGAAAGAGTCCAGGAAGAAGAAAAAGGGAGAAAGAGAAAACATAAAGAGGGAGATTTCGGGGAGAGGGAAGGATAAAGAGGGTGGTATGTATTTTGTTTAAAACAGAGAGAGAGAGAGAGAGAGAGAAAGATAGAGAGAGAAATAGAGAGATAAGGGGGGCAGAAAGAAGAGGCAAGAGGAAGGAGGATCTCACTAAAATATGATATAGAGATACTTCTTTAGTAACCAAAATAAATTGTTTTCTTTTGTAAAAAACATTTTGGATAATTTTGAATGAAAAAAGCGGTATGGGCAAACATAAATTAGGTTTTTACCAGGTAAAGTTGTTTCATGTAAAAACTGCATTGCTTACGTAACCTGATACAGGATCAGTGAACAATATATCGCGCAGTGATGCTTTCTTTGGATGGTTGTCTTCTGTACGTAGCCGGATTGACGATCCTGGTGGAGTCTCCTTTGATTTGATCATTTCAGGAAGTCTGCGAGATTGGATGACTGACATCTTGGTTGCTGACATCTTGGTTGCTTCCACGTGTGAGACATATCCATCCTTTTTACCACCACACTCACCCTCCCCTGATTGATGATCGTCCGATGAGTCGGGAGGAAGAGCAGGGCCTGCACGTATCAGATCTGAAGGAACCCCTTCTTCCTCAAAATCTCTTGCGATTAGAATCTGTCTGTCTGCAAGTACCAATGGCATTTCGGAGACAGTGGAGTTAGGGGAGGAAGCTACTTTTTCCTCAAAATCTCTTGCGATTAGATTCTGTCTGTCTGCAAGTACCGATGGCATTTCAGAGACAATGGAGGTAGGAGAGGAAGCTACAGAGGGGCAAGGTGACGACCCGGAAGAGGAAGGACTAAATGTTTTTGGTATCGTAATGCAGATGGGACTTTGGCGGTTTTCTCCAGTGATGATATCTCCTGACGATGAATTGGAGAAGGGTTCAGTTCTCATGGTTTTATTTACAGATGGATGTGCTTCTGAACCGAACTCACTCATATCATAAGTGGATATGGCATTGACCTTTTCTTGATTGGACACATATGCCGTTTCGTAACCTTCTCGTGCACCACTTTCACGATCCTTTGAAACATATCCGTAGTCATTGTCGCTTTCTTCTTTGGTCGCCATAGACATGTAACCTGAAAAGATGTCACTTTCACTTCCCGAGCTCTTGTTGGACGACTTGGATTTCCTACGATACTGCGTTACTGACGGTAACCTATAAGGGAAATCTTCGCCATTGGACGACCTATACCTTGAGGACGCCATGGAACTGCATATGCTTTCGATTTCATCCAGACCAAAGTAGTCTGCATTGTCGTTCGTGTCAACATTTGAATCCATTATGTCTTGTTTCGAAGGTAGGAGCTCTGGAAACAAGGGAGAAGTTGTTTCCGTGGGACTGACCTGTCGAGAATCTGGATCACTGTCTGCACTTCCAAACCCCTGATCACTCAGAGAAGTCAAGACAGTCGAAGTGTCACTTTGACTCGATTGGTATCTATGCCTCGTGCTGGGTTTATTGTACACATTTCCCTTCAGAATTATCCGTGAGACACCTACTGTACCAGGTTCAACATCGTTGGGATTGACGTAACCTTCGCTGTCTTCATCTTCCTCCTCCTCTTCTGCTATGCCATAATTCCCGTTCATGATTAATAAAGGTTGCGTGTTATCATTTTCTGAAGGTACGTCACATTTGTCAGTTACCGATGTTGCTACTGAATAGCCCGTTTCAGGGTCTTTCATCAATACAATTTGTTTGTTGCCTGTCAGGTTTACACTACAGCTCAAGGTGGAAATACTGTGGTAATGGGACGAATTGTATTGAGACGATGAACATGATGATGATCCACTTCCACTGTTGCTGCTACTACTCTGCATGTCATAGAAACCATGATCAACGCTGGAACCTCCGCTGTTGCTAACCATTGTTGGAGCGAGCTGTGACTGGTCTTCGAGTAACGACTTGTCTTCCTTGTACTCACAAAGTTCATTGAAGAACTCACCAGTGCAGGGTGGTCTAGGAGTCAATGCCTCTTGCTGCAGATAGCAAAGGAAACAAATGATAAGAAACTCAAACAGAAGACAGACAAAAGTAGATATTTCCTATTTGTCTTCACAAGAATCAGCAGCTCTTATGGCTGTGGTATATCAACACTTGATGATGACACAGTGGATTTTCGTTCAACCAGTCTCCCGTACAACTGATCTTTACAGAGGTTAGCAGCCACACGAACGAACCATGACATTATTACAGAGCTTCTCTTACATTGATGAAATAAAGTAATATGAGAATTAAATTACTAAACTGTAACATTCACATGACATTCATTTGGTAGATTATGAGCAGGTTACGTTTATAAATAATGACTCTTGAATCCATTGGCGTAGCTACAGGAGGCACGAAGGGCACATACCTCCACCCTTTGAATGTCATAAAAGAGAAGAAAGAGAGAGGAGCGAAAGAGAATGGCAGGGGTGAAGGCCTTGTCCTTCCTACTTAACGGCATAAGGTTCATGCGTTTTATTCACCCGGTAGGACCAGTGGCGCACCCCCCCCCCCCAACCCATGACGGTAGTGGCCCCAAATTAGTTGGACCCATGCTATGGTACTTTTCTAACGTATTGCAATCGGGAAGCTTACCTTCATGGCTAGGACATCAGGCGGGATATAGGGCTGAGGTAGACGTCGATTTCTTTTGAATGGATCCATCCCAGCTTGCCAGCAGCACAAACATAGACCAATGATGAAAATCACCTGACAGATGGTAATAGCTGACGCGATAATGGCACCTGTTCTTCCTCTTCTTTTACCTAGAAGATATTGGAGATTTGAGAAATGAGAAATTTCCCATGCATCAGAGACAGCAAGCTTTTTACTTTCCACTCTTTCCTCATTACTAGGGACCATTTCCACCTCGTCATTACAATTCTGCAAATAATAGTTGAATTTATCAGAGAAACCATACTTTAACCCTACCATAACTACAAGAGGGGCTAACAATGTACAGAATAAATTGCAGTTTGGGCATAATGACGAAAAAGGTGTTGAAGCCTTGAAAATCGTTTTTGGTAATTTACTGACCAAAACAAATCGATGACCACATTTTATGTAAATAAAAGGAATCTATTGTACTTTCTTTTCATTTCTTGTAATGCCGATAGCGTGATTATGGTTGCGTTCGACAGGAACCCTTTTGAATATATCTATAAATAGCAAAGAGGAACATTCGCCTCTCCAATCATGAACAATCTAGCCCTGTCATCATCGAAACGCACTCATTATTCAGTTATATATATTTTTGTTTGTGTTTAGTGCAGAACTCAGTAGTCATGTCGTCCGTTGTCATTTCAAACACTGGGCAAAAACAAACTTAATCGATTGAAATGTTAGATACACATCATAATCTCATTTCAGATCTACAAAAAGTAGTCATGTCGTCCGTGACTGGTCTTCATTCATTTGCTTACTTTCTGGAATGCTTGGGAGAGCAATCATGCCAGGTTCAGTCAAGGGTCCCTCCCCTACGAAGTTGACAGCGCTCACCCATACCAGATAACTCTGCCCTGCTTCGGAGTCGATCAGGGTGTATTCAATCAGGTCATACTGGTCTTCCTCTTGTGTTATGTTCATGTTTTCGACTCGTATTTCATCTATCAAGGGGGAATGCAGACACATAAAATAACTGAAGTATAATTTACAAATTGATGATAAAAATAATGTTGATGATGGCTTCTTGTATAGCGCCGGCACAAACGTTCTTGGTAAGTGTGGAATTGAGTGTGTTGGTCTTCATAAGCACTTTTGTTCTTGAAATGTCTTAAGAGTCTTAAATGGTAAATATTAGACTTGTCAATAATCTATTCACCCAATGAAATGATGTTTCTATTAAATCTTGTAATTGTTATAGTTCCTTATAAGAAATCTCCTACAATGCCTTTATGGGTCTTCGTTGCCGTTACATAAAATATGTCACGGCAGTATCTAGTAAAGTCATGTTAGTTGTTGTTTTTGCACTGAAAGTAACATTATAAGGAAGCATGCACAGTTCTAAACGAAGGAATGTAGTTCGAAATTGATGAGATGATTTACCCAAGCAGAAGAGACTCGTCCACTCTACATAGTCGTTGCTGCTTCTGACAGACTCTTCTACAAAAGTCTGTGGATAAGAAGCATTCAATGTGCAGGAGTATATCAAATATTCCAAGATGACGCCATTTTCTTCCAGTGCATCCATTGGAGACCACGTGACTGAGATCCAAGTGGGGGTTTCCAATGATGAGTTCAGGGTGAGGTTTCGGGGCGCCGCGGACGGAGCTGCGAAATATAAAGAAACAAAATTCAAACATGAATAAAACATATCAATTCAAACCTTTTTAACGGTTGTGAAACTGGGCGAACTGTGATAACTTCACAATGTCTAGCATTTTGTTTCGAAACTTACAATATTGCTTAATATGAAAAAGACTGCGTTATGATGTTACTATCATTATACTACTTGTTTTATCAGTATTTAATGCTCAAGGCTAAAGTGCCTGAAGGAATCGACCGAACTGCGTACCCAATACGTACCTAACATAAACCTCAGGTCTCCCCAAAAAGTCCCTCCTTATTATCCTTCAAATAAATACGTAATTCTATGGGTCGTGCACTTTTGTGTCAGCAGAGCTTTGGACTAAATGAATTGTCCGAATATGTTTAAACAATTTTTATACTGTTGACAACTTAAAAGCAAGTCTTAAAACGATTTTTTTTTTTGGTAACAATTTACAATATCCAATTGACAACATACGGATGTAAGCCGAGCGTACTCTCACTCTTCTCTATTATTTTCCTTTCTTTCCTTTTATGACATTATTTGGACATATACCGCTGTAAAAGTATGGTACATGTACATATATATTTTCAAATAGGGTTGCTATTACTTGAAAAACACCCTATGCTTTCTACATAAACAGGTGTGAAAATCCTCTGTTAGCTGAGTCATATCAGGGAAAATCCAATTAGAATAGAGGAATCCACTCTCATAAGTGTTATTCAACTACTACTTTGGAGCGGAATTCACTATAATTTGGAGTGGAATCAACCCCAAAAGAAGTGACTTCCTAATATGACTCCTAAAAAGTGGGTCTTCACCCCATGCCATTATAAGACAGTAAGACAGCCATCTTTGGCAAAAACTTTACATTTTCGTTGATTAATTAATATTAATACCTGTCATTTGAGTTCTAGCTGTAACAGGCTTAGACCACGATTTCAATTTGAAACGTTCGTTGAGTATACTCCATATTGAAATCACTACTTCGTATGTGGCGTAGGACCTTAATTGGCAAAGTGTGTAGTTTTTACCCTTCGATGTAAGGTTCACCTGAAACATAAACATATATAGATATATTATAACAACACCACTTTTTGTGTGTGTAGGTCTAAAGAGATGGGCAAAGAGTGAATTAAGAATACATTAACTAAAATTAACAAGCATCGGCTGCATTAAACTCGGTGTTTTCTAACACTGCATTAGGGGTTAAAATAGAGGATGGGGGGGGGGGCAAATTTCTTCTACGCAGCCAGAAAACAAAAAAGTAATTAAGTGGGCGAAAATGTCTTTTTGCCCGAATATCCAGTATTTTGTAAAGCATTTTAAGACACAGTATTGGAGTAATACACAGAAGAACTATAGTCCGAAGTAAAAAAAAACCGAAGATACCAAAAGCGTAAAGGGGAAATTTGTGAATAGTGACAGAGTCTCTGCGAGCTATAGTGCTGGTAGGAGGAGGGAAGGTAGAATTTCTATTCGAATTTATTTTCGAAGGATAATAGTACCAGCAATGTCGATAATCACCCTCTTCTCTTAATGATAAGAACATCGCCCACGTTCTTAAAGGAAAATCCGACCCAAATAAACAGCTATACTCTAAAAGAAAGCAGAAAAATCAGAGAAGCAAACTGATGAAAGTCTCCATTAAATCTGACGAAATAGAAAGTTATGATTTGTGTAAGTTGTAATCACTAGACGTATGGGCACTTCAAATTGGCTGAAGCGGTAATGTCAATGTATGTAGTACCAGACTACTTTCCCATCTGTTCCAACATATAAAATGACTAAAATTTGATTTGTTCAAAATTCATTGCTCAGGAGGGTCTATTCCTTTTAGAGGACCTATACTAATATGCTATACATTTTTAGTAGTGCCCCAAGGGAGAAGGAACTTACGCGAAAAACAGAAATTAATGATATTTTTGTACACGGCAAATGGGAGAGTTATCGACATCCTATGACCGAACTACCAATTTGAGATTCGCATATAGACTTAGTGATCTCATATTTCAAACATTCATACATTCTTACTGCTGGTCCGACTCATTTCGAACTTTTGCTATTCTGTTTCTATTATTTTTCTGCTTTCATACAAATCAATAAGGGTTAGATTACCCTTTAATCGGTTTCCCACGCACGCAAATTTTGCTCGGTCTGTGATGAATCATAATGTACGCCTACTATAAACAGGACAAAGGTTTTAACAATATAATGAACGAAGTCACCTACCTCGGTCCACTGTGAGTGCAATGTTGGGTGATGCAAATCTCGATACCTAATGGAGTTCGTCAAGAAAAACAAAATCCCTCCATCCCATCCTTCAGGTAGCTGCCAGGTCACCGTTAAGCATCCTGGCTCGAGCGCAGTCATGCTGACATCTCGAACAGGATCTGGACGAACTGAACAGGGCAAAAACAAGGAATATGCCAATCATTATTGTAATTATACAGTCAACCTGTATCAAAACTCACTTTTAACAAACACCGGGCAAAAACATACTTAATTGATTGAGATGTTAGATAAACAACATGATCTCATTTCAGATCTACAAAAAGTTAGATTAGATTGAAAATAGCACTGTATTGCATTAAATGTAGCTTTAAGATTTGTGTTTGTGTAACTTACGGATTTCGTTCAAGATAAACTGCTCGTGTAGAGACGCATTTCCAAGTACATTGGTAGAAATAACACGGGTTTCAAACATTTCGTAGTAGTCGCCGCAGATACCTTCACATCTATTCTGCTCTGTCAGCCTGCATGTTCGCCATCTAAAGATTCGCCGAAAGAAACAGGATTGCAAGATGAATTATAATATTTTCTACGGGAAGCGTTCTAGAGAAACATTTTGGTCATACCGATTGTAAGAAAATATTATAACCTCTAGATAATTAAAGGGATTCCAACGAGGATTTTCCAGCTAAAAATGTACATTGCTTTTGCCGTTATATAGAGTTCTACTCCCACAGTTATTATCGATTCGAACATTAAAGGTCATGTATTTATTAAATGAAAAAAATAAGAATAAGTTCCTCTGAATGTTGTTTATGTGGGAAATAAGAAAGATTATGCATCGCATGATTTTAGAAACCCACAAATTATCATAAATTTATTCGATTTTGCTGAATAAAACCTTTAAAAGCATCTTTGGCTAGCTTTATTAATGCAAACATGGGACCATGACTAAAATAACTTTTGTTCCGAGGAAAAGGATTATTTTTAAAGTACTATAAACAAATTTAAAAAGCGTTTATATTATAATATCACATTAAGAGAAGTGCGGTATGAATGGTCAATATCTATAATTATTTTCACTTTTAAGCATCATAACAAAGTCAAAATATGTGGCGAGAACTCAAAAGAAGAAAGATACATGCAAAGCAAAAAGAAGTTAGATGAAAACAGCGAATCGGGGACTTGTGTCATCAAACACGACTCAAAATGTTCCCATTAAATTAAAAAGTATATTTCTACAAAACATGTAGGTTTCCATGATTTGTAATCACGCATTCGCTCGATAAAATGGAAAATTTCTTCCAAACCTATCGGCGATTTATAAATGTGATTTTGAGATATATGAACAGATATCTCTTGCAAGGTTCCGTGTGTTAAACCGTGCTCTCTAAAAAAAATCGAGTGATCACGGACGTCACTCCTCTGGAGAGTGAAAATGTAGTGAAAATAGAGTGAACATTCACTCTTTTCTTCTTAGAGAGCACTCTAAAATCAATCGATTTTCACTCCTAAACAAGTGATCACGGACGTCACTCCCAAGAAAGTGAAAATGGAGTGAAAATTCACTCTCTTTTTTTAAGAGAGAGCATGATAAGAAAACGGGGATACAGTATACTTTCACGATCAGGGGCGGATCCAACCGGTAAAATTACGTGGTTTTACACGTTTTTTCCCCAGAGATGGGGGCCCGGGCCCACGGCCCCCTGGATCCGCCACTGTTCACGATATACCCACGCAATGAATTCAGAGAGCAACTATATTGATTACAGGATAATTATAATAGTAAAAATAACAATAATAACAATACGTAATGGTGATGATACTAAAAATGATAAAAATAGTAATAATACTAATGATAACAATAATAACAATAATGAGAACAACAATAATAATGATAATTCCGTGCATGATGCACAGTCATGATACACTGCCTAAATAAGCTTACAAAGGGCTAGGTGGGAATTATAACCCCGGGTTTTGCTTAGGCACTTTTGAAGCCAAAAACAGCACAAACAAATATATTTTATGATAACGGAGCTGTCAACAATTTTTGTTTGCGGGCTTATACGAGTAACCCGGTCTAATAGACACCTCCCATGTGAAAAGGTCTATTCTTCTTGATAATCCATAACACTTTCTTGCAAGTACGGAATATTATGTTTCAAAATGGTTGTAATTAAATATTTTGTTGTCATTCTAGATATCTCTTTCAGAAGGTCCTGCTTGCTTCACAACGATATGATACCTCACGGGAATCAATATCTTTGACCTCATTATCATCGCGGCATTTTGGGCGAAATACCAACATATTTATTTCTGCTTCGTGCAGCTTGACTATACCACAACAGTTACTATCAGTGTATCCAAAATCCTATACTTATTTCAGTCAACATATCGCAAAATGAACACTTTTAGCAGTTTTCTTCTCTCAATCTTACCTAATTTCCCAAACTTCAATATTATTTTGTTAGTAACTAAATAGTTAAGTAACCAAGTTGGTAACTTACTAAGTAAAATTAAGTAATTAAATGATAAAATAAGTAGGTACATAAATAAGTAAGTAGTAAGTAAGTAGTACGCAAATGAGTGAGTGATTAATTACTTTATCATATAAGTGAGTAAGTAAGTAAGTGAGTGATAATGAGTTAATTGATTAAGTAAGTAAGTGAGTATTACTTAATCGACTAATTACTTAAGTACATGTAAGTATAGTAAAACATTAATCTCACTTACTGGCCAAAATATGGTCTAAACTGAAGTGTGTCTCTGACAGCGAGATTGGTGTTAGGATGATGATGGTTGTCCCATTTACACCAAAAAGTAGTCAAGGTTTGAGCTTCACACGTTACATTCTTCACTGGTTCAGGTGGTGCTGATATAGACAAATCAAATAATGTACATGTAGTTAAGTAGTGCAATTAGATGATTGTAAGGACTCTCGAAAATTCAACCGAATTAGGCAATTCCAATCGTAGCATTGTCCATGACCATTACAATGATGTATATTTTCAACATGATCATGTTAATTACTTGGGTCTTTATTTGAAACATTATGCAATCTGTTTGCCATTCTCGTTCGGGGTTGGGGGGGGGGGGGTCGATTTGTACTAGGTTCAATATCAGGAAAGTGATAGCTTGTAATTTAACTATAGGGAACACAATCATGAAAGATTGGGATTTAACTCGATACACAGTAAAAACGCTGTTTAAAAAAAGTGATGTTCACTTACAGTTGTACACTATCTTAAACAACAGTTGATCAAATTGTAAACAATGTTGCTCGAAACAGAAGTAATTTTGTTAAACATTCGTTGTTTAAAATTTAATGACTGCTATATTTACTATACGAGAGCTTTTAGACAGTGTTGTTTACATATGACGTCATGTGTCTCGTGCCAGTTAAGTGCGTGTTGGCTAAAGGCTTTATTTCACATTGTTATGTTTAGAAACAGGTTCCTTGAAACTAACATGCAATTGAAATTGACATGCCACTTAGAAATGCAGTGCAGCTGTTAAGGCACAGCTCATTGTTATTCATATTAGATGCATACACACAATGCAAGTGTATGCAAGGGCCTTTTGTTGACTACACAGATTGATACATATGTAAAAGCACATGGACATTGAGTCTGGATCAAACTACCAAAGCAACCACACGTGTTTCTGCAGGCTCCATCTTGTTTGTCTTTATACTTACATTTATTTAGCTTAATAGTTATTACTTTCCAACCCACAACACAACATCATGGCCGACCAAGCTACCGACGCGCTTCTAAGTGACTGGGGATTCAATGGCTTAATTGAAATCACTTTTCTATTAACCACTTTGAAGTTTTTAACTTATAGCGTAAGTTCACAGTTAAAATTTTCGGTATCTGTACGCAAATGTCAGAATATTGGTAGACTTAAAATCGTCGCGTCATGCAGTGCGGCACTGATCGCGCACTCGGTTATAACGTGTGCTAAATTCCTTGCCATAGAGATTGCATGCATCCCTATATATGCAGTTTATACGTGCGTGCATGCGCGCTCATGCAAAATGGGCACTGTTTTGGCGCTAATTCATGAATTGCAGAATGACCCTAGTCTTCATATACCTATATAGAGACCCAGAAGTAGTGGTGCACTTATTCAGAGTATCAAACCCAAATTATACCCCATTATACAACCCTTTTGTTGTAAACAACCCCCACTGAACAACAGCTCCTTTTTAAACAACTTTCTTTAAACAACCCAGTTGGTTTAAACAACCCCAACTGAACAACAGCTCCATTTTAAACAACTTTCTTTAAGCAACCCAGTTGGTGTAAACAACCCCCACTGAACAACAGCTCCTTTTTAACCAACTTCCTTTAAACAACCCAGTTGGTGTAAACAACCCCCACTGAACAACAGCTCCGTTTTAAACAACTTTCTTTAAACAACCCAGTTGGTGTAAACAACCCCCACTGAACAACAGCTCCTTTTTAAACAACTTTCTTTAAACAACCCAGTTGGTGTAAACAACCTCCACTGAACAACAGCTCCGTTTTAAACAACCGTCTCTAAACAACACCGGTTGTTTAAATTGTGATTTTAAACAAGTTGTTCAAAATGTTGATCAACTTAGTGTTTAAACTTTAAACAACTCGAGTTGCTTAACATTTTAAACAACTCTTAGATCAGGTCACCCGTTAATCAAGAGTTGTTTAAACTTTTAAACAACTTGTTCACAAAAATTTTAACTGTGTATAATTGACAAATAACCCATAATTCGAATGTAATTGTTACTTGACTATAGACTTGATAAAGTATTTTGTTTTGGGCTTACTCTGGTAAGAAATAACAAATCGATCGAAAGATAATATGCGATTCATTGATTTTGAAACCTTTTTATTCGTTTTTCTTTGGAGGAACGTTTATGTAAAATCCAACAAAACAATAAAACAACTACTACTAGACAATGAATATGACACGAGGTTATATCAATCATAACGAAGTATATAACCTTGCTATATGACCTAGCATTGTATAAACACTGCATAAATGTTATGATGTAAAACAAGGCCAACAAAATATTAATTTTAAAACACTTTAGCAAAAAGAAAATGAAGTAAGTGGACACTACTTATACTTAAGATGTTTAAATAAAGATTTAATTATCCTCTTTAAGATGATCATGCAATTAGAATCATTAATCTTCAAATATAAATCGTTGGATAAAGTGATCTCACAAAGCAAGCTGACTTTTTAAAGATTCATTATAGGTTAATTCCATATACCATCTTAGTATCTTACCATAAAATACATGAAGGCTTTAAAAAGCTATACTTTAACTTGAAAAAGTGCCAAACCACGTTTACTTGACATTACTTTTTCAAAGAGAGCTTCGCCTCTGTTGTACCTATAAAATTATGTGTTCTGTTCGCATTTTCATGAACGAATTTCTGCATGGGGAAATACATAATTACTCAGGTTCATAAAAATTAAAAAAAAAACATTATCCGTACCAAAAGTCTCAGCTCCCTGTCAATACTCTACGTTTTTAATTGTAATATTAATTTTAAAACACTTTAGCAAAAAGAAAAAAGAAGTAAGTGGACACTACTTATACTTAATATGTTTAAATAAAGATTTAATTATCATCTTTAAGATGATCATGCCATTAGAATCATACCGTTCACACATTAATAAGCATAGCCATTGAACAGAAAATGAGTCTCTGAAAGAAAATTACGAAATAGGGCATCTGGTCATTCAAAATGTCAATGAGCATTGAAGGTATGTTATAGGGACCGTCCACAAAATGTTGTGGAAAGGAGAGGCATCTTGACTGTGCTTGTTAAAACCATGCAGTCCTGAGATTACATTTGAAATCCAGAGCTCAATCCTTCTCATTGTTTCTCATTATTTGTTTTCATTGTCGAACAAGAATGTCTTACAGATGGCTACTTGCTCTATGTTTGCAATTTTCTTAATCAGACCTTCTGACGGTTAAATGAATGTCCCCATCGAACAGTGTGAAAGTTCAAAACTCGATCTTAATTGATGTTGGTAAAGTAATAATTTTACTTTAATTAGATATATATGTTATTATATTCTAATGACGGTTTATTTGAGAGAAAAAATGAACAATAAAGAGCGTCCATTTTATTTCTTTGCTGAGTGTAGTTAGCGTCATTCCCTGCATAATGGTTTATAGGGACAAGGCTCCAACATAATTATACAGTCTCTGGACAAATCTACTCTTTTATTATACCAGTAAAACGATGAACATATCCATAAAAATTTTAATAACGTTTTTAAAAGATATTATATAATACTCATCAAATTGTGCGGGTCGAAAGCTCCATGAATTCTCAATACAAATTATCTCCAAAGCCCTCCCAAATATCATAGGTTGTTTTGGCGCTTTGGGGAAAATATAGGAATCGAGTTTTTATTGCTTTGTTATCTGAGATCGTAAAACACCTCCCCAAAACAAAACAATTTGCATGCAACGCTCAACTCGTACGTCATTCGCGCAAATGTTTAGGTACAAGTCTATTATATACATCATGGGCAACGCGAAACATAAAAACATGTGATTTTTTAAGATAAATGGAAAAACCCATTCCAATTATTGAATTCTTCATCTTGAATAATCCAGAAAAGAGAAAACTGAGAGAAAGAAGTCCATCTCAAAAGACACAACAGCTTGATTACTATCGAGATATTTCTAAACATTATATTGTGTTCGCTTACGAAAAAAGGAAAATAACGTAACAAAAATCCCATAAAATGCAGAAAATTGACTTACTTCCGATATAAACGTGAACGCCTTGTTTTCCCGTCCACTCGTCATCATCCTCAAATTGGCAGTAATATTTTCCTGCATCTGCAATGGTGACGTTATGCAAGTGTAGTAGTGACGTAGATACATTGGGCGTGGCGTACTGAGATGCTGGGATACGAGAGGAGTGTTTAGTCCATTGAATGGATTGTGACGTCCTATTGTTGTTGTCTCCATGGTTGAGGGTGCAGGAGAGGGTCAGTGAACCTCCGACCCGAATCACAGGGTCTAAAGGCTGAAGTGATGCTGTTTGTGTAAAGAAGAAAATGAAAACAAATTTAAAATCTAAGAGCACGCGATCTTTATTTACAGCATGCATGTGGTAAGCCAAAAATGTGTTTAAAACAGTTGAAATCTAATGTTATTTTGATGTGTGAAGGAGAAATGAGAGAGAGAGAGAGAGAGAGAGAGAGTCAGAGAGTCAGTCTCATTTTCCCTATGGAGTTAAAATGTGAGTATTGGCAACTACGTATGTAAACAAAACATATATGTTATATCCGGGAGCGAGATTCTTTGTCGTTACCTTTTTACGTCTTGCCTAACATGTTTGATAGCAAATCTCGACATTCTAAACCTATTAAAGTATTATAAAATGCATTTTTTCCTTCGTCATCAGCAAAGGACAGTCTCTACTTTTATAGCTAGCATGCTTCGCTTGGTTGATAAGATTTAGAAAATGGAGAGCAGTGGCGGTTCTTCAACCCCCCCCCCAAAAAAAAAAAAATATATATATATATATATATTTAAACATTTAAAAAAAAAAATTAATAAAAAATTAAAAAAAATAAAAAAAATAAATTAATAAATTAAAAAAATAAAATAATAATAATAATAATAATCAGGAGGCATAACAACTTATGTAGAAAATGAATGAAGAATCCACACATACTCCCAAATTATTATTCTCGAAGGCGAAGCGCTCCTAATAGAGTATTCTGGCGAATTTCCCTGTATATTAAATATGCGCCCATTAACCCGGATATTCATTCGTTAGCACTTTTATACCCAATGCTTTGTTTCCTTTTCCTGGCCACCCATCTAGTAAAGTATTGTTGAATGTGTTTGACATACTTCATAACTCAACTTAATGACATCATTCACGCGCATGGATATTCTGCTTGTTTTTTTCAAAGGGTGTATGTGTGTGTGGAGGAGGGGTGGGGGCACTGGCATTTTAAAGGTTCGGGGAACCCCTAAAAAAGTGCATTCACTAATTCAAAAAACACAAAGCCTTATAATACAAGGAATGTAGTATTTCGAAAATGAAATAAGGTTAATAATATCGATCATTAAGAGGGTGTATTACTCAGAAGATATATTATACCGAAGGTTCGTTACTATGAATCATCGAGATAAAGGTTAATTTGTACATTCCCGATTTTCCCTGATAGACAGAAATCATAAAATATCAACATCACGTATACACACTGCAATACTCGTACACTGAAGTTGTGGTAATGTGGGTATTTAATGCTAGGAACATGGTCATAAAATTTATTGATATTTCTAATTAATTCGTCAGAAGAAAAGGACTTGCACTTTGAAAGTATTCGTGACTCTTAACAGTGTGGTATGATGTGGGTTCAACTGAAAGCATCCGCTTCATAAGTGCATTTTATAAGTTGTGATTCTACTAGAAAGTTTTAAGATTTAACAGAAATAGTAAAAGTAAAACATATCAAACAATGTTGAGAGTAATACCCTTTCTAAAGGTCTGTCGGCAATAAATCGTAACGCTGTCGGTAAATATTTGGTAAAGCTGTCGTGATATAAAGATTTTTGTGTGTGTGTGTGTATGTGTGAGGGGAAGGGCGGGGCTTTGTGTTCTTGCATTTAATTTCGACTTATGTGTCGCAGACAAAAAAAAAGATACAGACAGAGGACTGAGAGGAGAAAACATTAAAGACAGGACAGTAAAGCTGAGAAACGAATGAAAAAGAGCAATTTACCCACTCCCACAAAGCGTTCGGGGAGGGGGGGGGGGTATTTTCGGCAATTGATGAAAACACCCAATAAATAGCAAGAAGTCTACACGTAGTCAAAATTGTCATGTAGTGGTGCTCTTGTTTGTTCAATACTGCTCTCTTCGTAGCTCAACATCCTACACATTCAGATGAAAAACAAAAACGACAATTTTGTTTTTCTCTCTCGGTTTTGACTTTGGTCAAGCCGGTGACAATGCATTTAGGATTCTAAATAACTTAAAGGAAATCATTGATTGGCGATGGTGTCTTTGTTTGGAATATTCCAAGCCCGAAGTTGATAGGGTTTAGTGAGAAGCTGTCCATCACTTTGGTCATTCGGTATCATTTTGATGTCTGCGCTCTATAAGTTTACACAATCATAAGTATTATTATTATTATACAATCGTTATTCATTACCAGGTAACTTTTCTCCGAATTTCGTTTAAATCGTCAAGTGCGGGGTGGGTTTAAATCTGATATCACCTCTATCAAAAACAATTTTTAACCGCTGAATAACGCCCCTAATCAATGTGATTAGTTCACGCCGTAGCCGGCAGGTTAAAGATCTGTTTTGACACTTCACTCGTGGACATTGCTCCTGTTAAGGACTGAAAATGATATGACCATCATAATTAGCATCGGTTCCTTGAACCGGCCCTCCTTTCAGCCAAAGCAGGACAGAACTGAAGGACATTTGGAACTATGGTCGTTCCAAAGTGAAACATACTCCACGGGAATCGATTCACGAAAACACCATAAAAGCAAATATCCTACTGAAATACAGGATTAGTTGAGTATTTGTTTCAGACCGCAAATGCCTTCAAAGTGCATGGTTATTGCTCTTATTCTTATTTATGACATTTTTAGTGCTCTTTTAGAACCTACAATTGCTATGTAGGTAATTGTAGACCCAAAATGTGTGAAATTTAGCCTATATACGATCATACCAATTCAGCTCCACTTAGAAAAAAATACGGCGACCGTTAATTAATTAATTAACTAATAATAACACAATATACGGGCCGGCCGGTTGTGCGTGTTATGACAAACACGAAAAAGCCAACAAAAATCCAACATCGGCATTGGCTGGAATAAAATATACAAGGCGCTATCTCATTTTTTCAACGGCTGGTTCAAATTATCGAATATTATTTTGTGGGGTACCACAAATATTAGAAATTGTTATATTTATGGATATTCCAGCCGTCTCTGAACAAAGATGATTTTGTCAATTAAATTGTATGTTCTTTCAAATTTGACACTCGTTTTTTTATTATCTCACACAAACAAAAAAAAACATTTTGTGTAGCGCCCCCTGCAACAAAACTCAACTATCCCTATCAACGAGCGTTTCAATCCCTTTGGCAAGTCATTAATCTACATTTGCCACTCAATACCCAAGAGAGAAATGGGGACCCGGCCGGTAGGATGACGAAAGCATTTGTGTTAGTAATTGCCATATGCCCTCACGGTGACCAAACTGGTAGGAAAACTCGGCATGGAGTGGAGATGGTGCACATTGTACATGAATGAATCCGATGACCGGGGTAATAATTCATCGGGATTATTATTACTATTATATCGACAAACGTGTACTTTTGACGGTTTCATGAAACCGTCTATGGCAATATAAGAATATAGGCAACATAATATTTTCGGGGGGAAAGTATACGATTAAAAAAATTCTTTTTGACTTCGAACAATATTAAATAGGCCTAAATGAGGAACAGAACGTTAATGAATAAAACAATATAGATTACCATGTCTAAAACGTTTTTTGTTTTTTGTGCATGAAATCAGTCTGAAAACGTTTCAGATTTCTTGACAGCGAATTAATACTTCTAGTTTTTTTTTGAAAACGACATTAATTTTGTTCTATGGAGAGACAAGCATTTGAATAGTAAGCGTAGTTCATATTTGGGTAAAAATCGCAAAACAAGTAAACCCCCTTTCAAAAAAGCAAGGCTTGAATTTAATAGACAAGAGTTGTTGTTTTTTATATAGAAGAAACAAGTTCAAATGGCAAAAAAACCTCTTAAAAATGACTTTAGATGATTTTTTCTGTGTTTTATAACTTTTAATCATTAGAGAACTTCCCTATTCTATTAAGCAATAAAATAGCTTATTTTATTGATTATGATGTCGTTTTTTTCTAAGGAGGCGTACATACTGCATGAAGGCATGGGGACACTCACCAGCTCCGAACAGAAGAAGGTAAGATGGAATGAGAGGGAAAGTGTGTGTGTGTGTGAGAGAGAGAGAGAGAGAGAGAGAGAGAGTGTGTGTGTGTGAGAGAGAGAGATGGATTAACGGGGAAAACAAGATAAGAGCAAGAGGAAGGTAACACGGCATCTTCTATCCTTTTGTAAAGTTTACTCTTCACATTTAATTCAATTTGTAAAATCGATGCCCAGCACCCACTCTCAATGCCAACGCCCCTTCGTGACTGGACCCGCGTCTTTTCTTAATTAAAACAAAAAAATATTTTATTCATTCATTCATATCTTATAGCTTTTTCAAGGGGGGTACAAGATGGATAACAGTGTAAATGATGTATTCGAAACATGGTGCTAGAGGTTCGGAGGGGGTCTTATTATCTTTTTCTCACGGCTCCTCTTTCCTTTTCTCCGCTTTCTTTTTCTTTCATCTCTACCCTCTCATTTTTAGTTCGATGGGGAAGGGGGCACATGCACTGTAACAGCAAATAGATTATTGTTATCGTTTTATGGTTCAATAAATGCCTTGAATTTCACGGGATTTTACAAACAACATGCACACTTACTGCATCAGCACGGCCATTACAGAAAAAAAAGTACCCAAAATCAACCGGTTATAATAATTGTAAAGTAGAAGTAATATGCTTTCATAATGATACATCGATAACATTAATCCATGCATGCTCCATTGATCAAAACATTGTATTGAAAGTGGCATGTTGAAATTCATTTGAGCCAGATATTGGTAAAATAGTGAAAACGGTGAATATTACCGAACATGACTTTAAAGAAACACGATTCAACTGAAACCCTCAATGACAATAATGAGAATATTGTTTTTATATGCCCTTTTAAATAATGAGATCAAACATAGTGCCACCATCATAATATAAAGGCTAACTGAGATATTTTCGGTGGTAAGTGTATTAAAAATGCATGCGCATATTTTGTACTCAATACATTATATATGACTAATGGGGCGTGTAAGCATGCAAGAGGGGGGGGGGAATAAAAGCTAGATCTAGTTAACTTATTTTAATTGTTAAAAACTTTAATCCTAACAAAATCCTAGGAAATTTAGGAGACTAGAGGGGCATGCAAGAAAGTTGAGTTGCAATCGATTGCAAATATCAGTTGCAAATTTTGCAACTTGCAATCAATCGCAACTTTCTTGCAACTAATTAGTCTGTTATATTGTTGTGAACAATTTTATTTTGATTTTTCAGAACTGCAACTTTGCAAAAGCACAAAGCGGACAGCTATAGGTGGTATTTCTACAAGAATCGTAGTAAGGGGCATGCACAGTTGTGGTAAAGAGGGGAAAGGTAGGGTATAATGGGCACATAAGGTAGAAATATTATCCAACAGACTGCAATTTTCCTTTCAGGATGGGCACCTTTTTCAATCACAAGAGGTGTACTTTTTCAACTGCTCGGAGATTATTTAGTGGTTTGGGGATAAATTATGAGGGTGTATTCCAAGACACCCAGGAAATGGATATTCAGCCCTACTGGGTAACTTTTTATTGAATGCACATTATCACACAGTGGAAATTTTGTATAATAATCCTTTAAAGCCTAAATTTTCCTTAGGTCATGATGGCATGTGATACTAACGTTTTCATTGTTTTTACCGGAATCTGGAATAAATAGATTTTGACATGCCTTTTTCAAAATAATTTTGCTCGGTGAAGCAGATTAATGCTATCAAAGTATCATTTAAAAGCACATTACTTCTGCCTTATATTGTCATAAAGCTCATAATTCCCTCACAATAATCGTTTGTTTGGGGTTTCGGTTGTTTCTTGGCCGCACAGTATATAGGCTACTTCCTTATTTAGACTATAGTTCGAGATAGGCTATGTTTATAATTATGAATTCATGAAAAATGTACAGGTCTCAGAAGAGACGATGTAATTTTTGCGTCAACATTTTTTATTGGAATAATATTTTATTTGATTCTCTCCATTCTGAAGAAGAACGATTAGACCCTCAAAACCCTCACAAGAAACAAACAAACAAACAACAACAACAGCAGAAGGAAACAAAATGTGTGGAACCTACCATCTATACTCCCTCCACGTTGTACACGAAGCACGCAGAGTATGGCCAGGAGTAAATTACTGGTCCGACAAAATGCCATCGTTTTTGCTTCAATCTAGTCACGTCACGTGGAAGATTGCTCTGTTTTTAAGAGAAATTGCACATGAAGGAAATGATTATATACCTTCTTTTTAAATGATTTCAAGAGGTCAGTAAGTGACAACTAATCATAACATTGTGCATCACATCGCTACCGATCCTTACATATTTATGCACTCTTAGAAGTTAGGCCTACATTATGACATCAAAACGTTTAGCAATACACAATGAGGAATGGTGTTCGAGTGGCGAGTTACTACTTCTGTATAATACTGATAACTCGCAAAACTAGTCAAATAGAGACCATTTTCTCTCCCTAGCTGTTTATCTTTCTCCTTCTCCCCATCTCCGTTGCCCTTTCTTTTCTTTCTTTTTTTCTCTTTCTCTCTCTTTCTTTATCATCTTGTCTATTTCTTTCTTTACAGTGTTTCTTCCTTTATTTTATTCCTTCTATTTCTCTTTCTCTCGCCCCCTCTCCTGTTCTTTATTCCCACCCCTTCGTTTTCCTTGTTCTCCTTTAGGAAACAAACCTCATTTTTCAGATAGGAATTGAAATGGATGACCCGTATAATAGTTGAACCTGGTATGATTACATGCCCGCATATTCATACATGAGACGACCTTTTTCGACATCATTTACCTTCAATGTATTTCTATGCCACCGTATTCGAATACATTTAGAAAATACGCAATACACTGCTATCAGCAGCTCACAAAATAATGTGAGTGTCACTTATATTTTGTATAAAAGACTAATATAATCATAATTCTTTGATTCTAAGGGGCCCGGATTGGAATTGAATTTTCACTTGGCTTCGAGAACTGCATTCATATTTTTCACTTTCATTTTATAAACTTATGGTAGGCAAATATATTTGCTATCAGCAGCTCACAAAATAATGTGAGTGTCACTTATATTTTGTATAAAAGACTAATATAATCATAATTCTTTGATTCTAAGGGGCCCGGATTGGAATTGAATTTTCACTTGGCTTCGAGAACTGCATTCATATTTTTCACTTTCATTTTATAAACTTATGGTAGGCAAATATATTTTACGTATGGTCAAGAGACATGATGTAAGATTTTATATTTTATTTGATGCTTATCTATTCCGTATACATCAACATATTTACACTATAAAATCTTATAAGTTTAGATGTATGATAATGACATGTTATATACAGAAAAGGGGTCGTCTTAAGCATAGCTTAAATTATGGTAGACGGACGTGACTATTCCTGGGAAGGTCTTAATTATATTTAACTTTCAACGAATTTCACGGGAACATCATTTTCGTGAACATGATAGTGATATAGAATTCAGCACAACTGAACAGATATAATAATATATGCGTATATCGCAACTATGTATATAACTAAGATATAATTATGAAACTGCAAACTTGATTTGGACCAATCGCAACTCTTTGAAATACGGGGCCCAGGTGATGATTTATGGATAACACACATTGTCATGTCAACATATTGTACACTTATAAAAGTAATAAACTCTATTAATTAACTTATAGAACGCAATATTATCTGAAGTTTTAAAAGACGTGAGAGAAATCACCAAAATCAGTTATCAAAATACGTCCTCATCATAATCACACCAATCGCTGTACCACAATTTTTTCAATCATTACTAGTACTTACCACCGTTCAATTCTTTGCCGAGCCATTTACAGGTTTATAGGGCGAGTTCAGGCGATCGTATGCAAAAATTCACATTTCGTCCCTTTTCCACACTTTGTCTATGTCGTGACGAATCAAATGAGGAATGGACAAGTATTTTCAACCTTTGGTAGGAGTCGACTGATCTCAAATCATCTCGTCAGGATAATCAAATCACTTAAGTGTAGGTATACGAGAGACACGTACTCTTCATGCACCGCTCAGAAAAAAAGAAGCAACGCTTTCTGTCCCATCATGAACCAAAATGGAAAGAGAGTAAAACATAGCTACTGTTATAGGTAAAGAGGCACGGGCTTTGTTGATTTGTGTAAATTATTTTCTCCGTGCGTATTTATCTTGCCATTGTACTGGTACTAGTAGTGTAGTATCAACGACCAGTCACATACTCGAATCCGGACTTCACGTTTGCTGGTAGGCTGTTTTTACTATCCAATTAATTACTGCACCTCTCGAAATCAGGATATCAGATATCTTTAGTAAACTACATGTAGCTCAAAGCCACAACCTTTCTTGAAGAGGTTCCTGACTTAAGTTATTATCTCGTCAAGGTGAGATTTATTCAACGTTTAGGAAAGTGTGTCAAGATTATAACGCGATACTGAAATATTAATGCATATCTGGATACCAGTTGAAATACACCTGCGACAATTTTTTCATCCAGTCTTTCTAATGTTGTCAACAAGAGCTAAACCGTTCCCACGATACGTTTCCTGAAGATGTTTATAAGTTGGTCACCATAACCGTTTCCATATACTTCCCAAAAGAACGGACGCTGTAATGATTTTAATGTGGCAATTACTTCGCATGTATAGTGTTGTTACATTTTTTTCTTTTTATACATGTTCTAACGGGGGAACTTACATCAACCTAGTCAGTATACAATCATCAATAATACTCTTTAAATAACCAAGACATCCATTAATTGGGAATACCCAAATCATTTATTTTGTTTTCTTGTCCAATAGAAAGGCTTATATACATAATGACCTAAAATTTCATGACAATAATCAAATTGTTGGGCCTACATATCTAATTCGTAAAATACTTCATAGTAGTTATGAAATATAGTGAAATATAGAATAACGCAACTTAATTCAACAGCAATTTGCGGTTTAATTTAAAAGAATAACAAAATGAAATAAAAGTCCAAAGACTAACATTGTCATAATTATTTACTGTAAAATTCAAAATTATACGAAACTATACAATAATGTATAGGAATCAAAAGTATTGTACCACAATTGCAAAAATAAACCATAATGGCATTTTCCATTAAAAAAAAGATAATTTAAACTATTGCAACCATCATCATTGGCGCTGCGAGCTAATTACGTTCTTGCTTTTGCGGGGAATTTTAAAACTTGTGATTTTTGCACAGCGAGCACAGCTGCCCGTATACGCATTGGTAACTCGTGCGGTCCTGCATGTGCGTTGGGCTAAGCTGCTCGCTGTGATTTGATATTAATCAGTAGATTCTAAGGTAAATTTCGAATTTTCGTCTTGGGCAGGGCGGGCTACTCTGCTCTGCCTATTTCGTAATTTTTTGTGTATATTTTTCTTGTGTTTCGTGTGAGTGTCTCGAGCCGGGCTGTAATTCTAGCCCGGTTTAAGGCATTTCTGCTGTGTTTTTGGCCGATCGTCTGCCCTCGTCAACTCCGAGTGTAGTTCCGGCGCGGCTGTGCCAGGACTTTTCCACTGGGGAAAAGATTAAATATCTTACAAAGATTATCTTAAAGATTAAATATCTTTAAGATTAAATATCTTACAAAAAACTTGTTTGGGTTCAAAGTCACAGGGAACAGATAATCATCTGTTTATTTCAAGACTCTTTATCCAAAGAATAGTTAATCGACGACGAAGTGAATGACGAAGTATTATAACGAAACACCTTCAAGAAGATTTGTAAGTTACTCGAAGCCCCTAATTTTATTTCAAAGCATTATCAAAAGCATATTTAATTTATCCCATCGATGTTTCATTTTTCGAGATAACCTGCCGTCATTTTCTTACTCCAGTGAATTCGCCATTAACGTTAGATACATTCGTTGAACTTTCGTTGTCCCCTATACATTGAACTTCAATGTTCATCATAAAAAAACATACTGGTATCAATTATATTTATTTTATTTTATTACCGTTGATTATTATAAAAGATCAGAGTTTATGATTTGAACATACAAAAAGAAGTCTTTATAAACACAGTTCAAGCACCGCTCCCATTTCCTGACGTCCCCGACCCCCCCCCCCCCCTAAGAAAAAAAATCAAAACACATCGCGTGGCAAAATTATGTAGAAAATTACTGCAAGATTAAGCCTCCAAGTCCCCGAAGCTAACACCCACCCAAATAGTTATTGGGGAAAAGAAAATTCTCTTTAGAACCGCTTTTGAACATCGATACCAGTATATCTTCTGCGGCGTCTCATTGACTATACTGTACTTCCATTATGAATGAAATATTTTGCAATACGGGTTAAAAGTTCAATATTTTGATATATTATTATAAAATAATTCCCCTCATTAAAAGGTCACAGGAAGTGATGGAGCATTGATGTCTCTGAAGACTATTTCAGGAAAGAGAGGGAAAACAAAGAATTTTAAAATGAAAGAAATTAGTAAAGTTCATGCATTCATTTTTCTTTTTTTTCCCCTTCCTTTCTTCTTCTGTTTTTCACTCTTTTGTTCTTCTTCTTTTTACTCTTCTTTGATTTGTTTTATTCTATGAAGAGACTACGTGTCACTCGGGGGCCTTTATGCAAAGCACTGTAATATACTTTAAACCCGCCACTACATTAATCAAAAGTACGGATACGATTATTATAGTAGCCTATACTGGTATTCTTGTATTTTGGCCTTATCATATACTGGACTGTTTTAATTTTGTTAGTAATGTATATTATACACACGCACAAACTTACGATAATGCTGAAAAGTGTGTGCCCGGTAAAATGTAAGAGATACAAAATATATACCAGAGGAATTTAAGGAAAACAAAATAAGGTAAGCTAGGGTAGAAAATGCAGCGGTTTGTGCCTTCATAAAAACAACATTGATTAATGTACTGAAAATAGTGGAATTATTATTATTATTTTTTTATATAAGATATTTACATAAACATATATTCGTCAAGGATTATCATCCCCCGGCCGCGCATATTTTTTTTTACACAACTGTTTAGCCATTTTCGCGAAAAAATTCAAAGAAGTGCTCTGGTGATAGTCGTCAGCGTACTATAATTATGTGCAAGCACGTACACCCAGGGAAGGGGATAGGTGATAGAAAGGGGAAAACAAGGATATTTGAGAGGATGGAGAAGGAAAAACAGGGAAATACATAAGGAAAGAGAAGAGGATAAGTCAAAGGAAGAACATAGAAATACATAATTGAAGAGCTAAGAGGATCATAGATCTAGACTAAGGAAAAACAGGGAAATACATAAAGAAGGAGAAAAGGAATCTATCATGCAGATTAAAACAAAGAAATAGATGACGAAGGAAAAAGGATAGATTGAAGGAGAAACAAAGAAATACATAAAACAAAAGAGAAGAGGATAGATTGAAGGAGAACTCAGAAATACATAATGAAAGAGAAGAGAGGATATATTTAACCCGCATAACGAGTATGTACACATGCATGTACAGCTCCAGCAATCCAACAAAACACTTCTTCTTCTTGTTGATTTGTTTTTGTTTGGCAATCAGTCACAGTTGACTATTTTTGCCACACACTATTTTATGAATTATTTATATATATATACGTATGTACAATTTCATGTCATAAATGACTATTTTTAGGATTCTTTCTCTTTCTAAGGGTAATGCTATAGACTCTGTCTCTAGTCGTTTGCACAGTATATTTGACTGAAGTGGCTAAACAGTTGTGTAAAAAAAATATGCACCCCCCGGCCGGTCCCCCCCCCCCCCCCACTCAGTGTTATTTAGGGTACGCATATGCGTGTTCCCTCCTTTTGAAAACACCCCCTAAGTCCGGTGTGTTAAGTCAATTTTGTGTATATTGTACGAGCCGGACTTTGGTGCGTGAAAAGTACCCTTTTACCGGACATTTTGGTAACACGCATGCGGTCATTCCGACCCCGGAGTGGGGGGGGGGGGGGGGGGGAGGAGGAATCATCCCTCACTATACAGGAACTTTGTATCATTTATCAAATCGGCAAATCTTTGGTTAAAGGTCCTGTAGAAATCCTCTAAAGACATCTCGAGTTATGTTCCTCATGCATGTACATTGTAGTAGGACATTATCTAAACTTATCTAATGGCCAACTTTAACTAATATCATCTTCTTCCTTTTTTATGTGTCATGTGTAATGTATTGTAAGTAAAATTGTATTTAAGTATCTTATGTAGCTCGATCATTGTAAGCGCCTTGAGCACCCTCTGGGTGGATATGTCGCGCTATAAAAATGTCTTTATTATTATTATTATTATTATGCCTTTTCGACATTCACGTTCTTTGCCCTTGATTCGCAAGGTTTCATCTCCTGGGAGAAGAGGTAAAAGAGAAAACAGCATACAAAAATGAATAAAAAATAAAAAGATCAACAAAAGTTTACACATAAAACAGATGAATGCGTCATGCACGTTACCCGTTGTGCACAAGATTATCATTTCGGAGTCACATCAAATTTTTATATTGTTTTACAATCTCACAACACACTGTCATGGCGCATAGACCGTGCCAGTCGCTGACGCTATCCTGACGCAAATGACGCGAATATCTTTGTAACGGGAATTAGAATCATAAGACAGGCACATGCCGCGTCAACATATCGTCGAAAGTAAATCTTTTCTATATAAATCTCATATTTGTCTATTTCATTATCTCCTTTATCTTCCTCATAATCATCACGAACTTACGTTATCTTTATCATATTCAATCACTTGAGTAACCCGAGCGTTATTTTAAGAAATCGATAATATTTTATTAACAGATTTGTAGATGTGTATATGTGTATATTAGATTTCCTTCCCATTTTCGAAATCATGAAATCGTATGGAAACGACACCCTCAAAAAAGCTACATGCGGATACAATATAGGTCACACTAATTGTTTCATTTGTCTATATCGACATTTATTATGTTTGCGGATTTCGTTATGTGACTGAATGTTAATTTATTGGAAGCAAATTGCTTGGGATAGGGAGACGGTTAAAATTACATCCGCGGCAATCGAGACAAAATAACGACAACAACAAAGCAAAAAACAAATTGATAAACAAGCTTAATCAGACAAACAAACAAACAAAATAACCCAAATGTGTACTTATGGAATTCTAAGAATTATTGTAATTACTAAGTTA